GAAAGTCTTAGTTGTTGGAAATCCCTGTAACACTAAGTACGGACACTTGTATGTTTCACCAAGTATTAACGATTTTATGCCATCACCATGTCTTAGTTGTGGCTTGCCCTTGATGCAGTGCGTTGATTTGCTTGAAAAATGCTCCAAACATACCAGCAAAAAACTTTCATGCACTGACGAGGTTGGATGAAAATAGAGCAAAGTGCCAGGTGACTGACGTTGAACCTTTATTATGTCTCGTCCTTCCATTCCCTACAGGAAAAACAGATTAAGCAATCAAACACAATCTCCTTTTGTAGGTAGCACTCAAAGCAGGTGTATTTTATGACAAAGTATCAAACGTGACTATTTGGGGGAACCATTCGACGACTCAGGTGAAGATCTGATTATAAACTAAATGAGCAGACTATTTTGCAGATACATTTCTTCGCTGATTGTTGGCACTAACTTCCCCGTGTAGGTTCCTGATTTCTTGAATGCCAAAATTGATGGGAGACCAGTGAAAGAAGTCATTAAGGATACCAAGTGGCTAGAAGAAGAGTTCACCATGACAGTTCAAAAGGTATGTGCAATACATTTGGAGTTGTCTGTCACTCCAGAAATTAAGTCAAGGTTGTACCATAATTCGTTTCATTCCTATATCTAAACAGCGTGGAGGTGTGCTCATCCAAAAATGGGGCAGATCGTCAGCTGCATCAACCGCTGTTTCAATAGCGGATGCTATTAAATCCCTTGTAACTCCTACCCCAGAAGGCGACTGGTTCTCTACAGGGGTAAGTTTTGAGGCCTTTGAATTGATCACAGCTTTGTTTCAGCATTCCTCTAATGGAAAAAGGCATAAAAAAACACAGGTTTATACGACTGGAAATCCTTATGGCATAGCAGAGGATATCGTGTTCAGCATGCCATGCAGATCAAAGGTACGATCTACTAATCAAATTGTCCTGATTATTTTTGTCCTAAGATAAGGTACCACTCCGATGATCATAAAATTCTTCCAACAGGGTGACGGTGATTACGAACTAGCTACTGATGTGTCAATGGACGATTTTCTCTGGGAACGGATTAAAAAGGTAAGGGCTATAGGAACTGCCGTCACTGATATGCTGAGAATGTAAGCAGCATAGAGATTTTACCCTAACAGTTGACCCTGTAATATTTTCAGAGTGAAGCTGAATTGCTTGCTGAGAAGAAATGCGTCGCCCATCTTACAGGAGAGGTAAGTCACTGTGACGTATTTTAGCTTAAAAAGAGAGAAATCGTGCCGGAAAGGATTGGCTTAGCTTTTTCTGTTTGTACAATGCAGGGGAATGCATTCTGTGATCTTCCGGAGGATACCATGCTACCAGGAGAAGTGTAGTTTAGTTACAGAAGCAATAGTAGGGGAATGCATTTGTGTATACGATAGCTGAGACTTGAGAGAAACAGCTGCTTGCAAGATGCAGCAACTACTTATATATATATATACCTACACAGAGCGGCTGTCTGTCTTGTGCACATGCTGCCGCCGTGGGCCCGCGACAGCCCCAACCTAGGCTTTCCTAATTGGGCCGTGCACGCGCCCAAGGAAGAAGTCCATATTACCTCCTTTAACTTTTGCAAAAGTTTGCTTTCCCTCCTTGATCTCTAAAACCAGGTAAACCACCTCCCTGAACTTTTAAAACCGTTCGTTTTACCTCCCTAACCGGTTATAAGCGGTTTTTAAAGACGGTTTTCTCTTTTTCTTTTTTATTTATTTCGGCTGAAAGTTTAAAAAATCATAGTAAATCATAAAAAAGTCATAAAATGAAAAATCTAATTTTTGACTCTACATGAGTAGATTTACATAGTAAATTAGTACTCTCTCTGTCCCGTTATAGAAGACGTTGTAGCTGTCAACCAGATACAACGAAGACTCCCTGAACCTGGACGTCGGCTCTGTCCTGGTACATAAGACGTGCAATGAATGTAGTCACATAAATGCACTGCTAGAACGTCAAAGTATAGTGGGACAGAGGGAGTATATTTTAGTATAATTTTTTTTGCTACAACTTTAGATCTATGCTTTTCAGTATCTGCTGTTTCGGGCACACCTTTCTCCCAATATATGTCAATAGCCTTACAATTTAGCTTACATCTTACGTGTTGATGGTAGTCTTCAATCATTAGCTTACAAGGGGCACCTAGCTAAATTAAACTACAACCTTTGTTTGTGAGATGTTTGATCATACAAGGTGTTTCGGTTACCCATGTCTAAACTTAAATTGAAACCAGGATGCACATAAGATATTTCTTTTATATGTGTTAGCTGAAAAATATATAGGATTGTGTGGATTTTGAAACCCGTAGCAACGCACGATGAATATAACATACTTTGTTTTAAGGTTTTGTGAGACATTTTTGAAGGCATGCAGTATTATCCATGTGACAGGCAGACATGCACTAATGTTTATATATATACTCGAACCTGTGTATATGATGGCATGGAGGTGTGGTGAAACTTGAACGTAGATTTATTGGCGCACGAAAGAAATGGATATCCGATATTTCTTCAAGTGATATAAAACATTATCTTAGCCGCATCACGAAAAGGTCAGTACAATAAAGTTTGTGAGCCTGCGACGCCGCGCTCTCCGTGACTGTGTTAATTTCATGAACTTTGCTTTTTTGATTAAATGTCACTTTAACGTCGGTATTTAATTTCATAGTATTGTTATCTTAACGTGCAATCCGTGTGTTTTTAGTATAAAAGTTTAGCTATTCCATAACAACACACGGGCACGAACCTAGTAAATAAAAAAGAAAAAGACAAAACCATCTTTGAAAACCGCTTATAATCGGTCAGGGAGGTATAACGAATGATTTTAAAAGTCCAAGGAGGTGGTTTACCCGGTTTTAAAGTTCAAGGAGGAAAAACAGACTTTCGTAAAAGTTGTGGGAGATAATGTGGACTTTTTCCGTTCCCGAACCGTCTTTATGATCGTTTTGTTTTTTTGGCCATACCGCTTATGCGCCCGTGTTGCGCTTCCATTTTTGAGTTACAACTCTTTTTGTTTTTGAGGGGAAAGCATTTCCATTACTGAAACAGCGTTGAATCTCATGAGTTAGCGTCTCTAGGGAGTTCATGTGATCGGGCTGAGTTACAACTCTTTTTTATAGTATTTACTGTCGAGATTTTATGTAGTTACAATCTTAGGTTTGGTTGTGTCTCCACTCATATGCAAGTGCTGTACCTCTGTGTTTTTCTTCACATTCAGTTACAACTGTGTTATTTTATAGTTACAACATGTTATATGTGCGGTTACAATCGTACTGTAACTCTGTTTTTTTTTCCCGCATTTCTCCTTTCTGTCTTCGCCGCCGAACCACCGCCTCGTGGAGCTGTGACTGTTGTATTGTGGGCAATCCCAACTGAGCCCTATGAGGTGGTTCCTCTGCTGATCTTCTCGTCGTTCTCCAACGCTGAGCAATTTGTTGTTATGCCAACATTTAGCGCAGTGACACATTGGGTTGATGATAAAACCGCACGCAGCCAGGCGAAGCGATGCCAAATACGCGCCTAGGGAACCCGACGCGGCGAGGCGAACTGACGCCACCGCATCGCGTGTGATGCATAAACAGAGAACCCACGATACAACCTTGGCTTTCCTAATTTTCATATATAAATATCTTTATTTGACATCATACAAGAAAGACATAATTTTTCTAAGGCCTTATTTGGATGTGCATGTATTCATCTCAATCCACATGTGTTGAAGTGGATTGGAGTGGAATTAAACTAAACTCAATTTCAATCCACTTCAACGCATGTATATTGAAGTGGATACACATGCATTCAAACAAGGCTTAAGATGGGAAGCCCCGATACACGATTAATATACCGCTGAAATTTTATATTATTTTTAGCATCATAATGACCTCAAATGAAAAAAAAATCTTGATACTAGAGATTTGTAGATTTCATGAAAGTTACGATTTTTATATAAAAATCATCTTCATCCGACATTATATAGAAAACAAACAATTTTTTTGAGGTAGAGAGCCTTGTCATGTCCTCACTGTGCAACAAAGCAGAAAACCGAAGCAGGGTCTAAAGTGTCACGAAAAACTTACCATGCAAAAGCAAATTGCTTGTGAAACTATAGTTTAAGGTTTCACCCGTTTGGTTAGAGCTCTATTTTTTCTCTTTTACATCAGAAACACCTTTTTCCACTATGACGTGTTAGCGGCCTATTTAGGCCAAGCCAAACAAAATGGATTTTTAATTTATGTACCACATGACCATACCGTAATGTTAATTCAGATTTCTAAATTCTAATGCATCTAAACGGTTGTATTCCTTGTAATTTATTGTACAAATGAACACCCATATCGGTTATGTTTCAATGCTAGCAACTTCATCGACATACAGGGTTCACATATTAGTAAAAAAATAATGTGATTTAAGCACTGTCTCTACATTTTGCATGGCTTCAAACCAAATATCTCACACTTCGCCAGAATTTTGCCACTGCAGCTTAACGAATCGTTGGTTCTTTGTAACGATGTGAAGTTGTACCATCACACTCTTTGAAAAGATGAGGAGGCCGACTTACAGACTCAATGCACCTATCGAAGATTTCCGTGGGAGAATAACCTTTTTTTTTTCCTTCGTTTTGGTGTGGCTTTCTTTTTAAAAGGGAATCAAATCTGTCAATGAGTCTTTTAAAAAGAAAAATGCTGCCTGTAAACCTGAGATTCTCCAGTTCTTTTTTGTTTTTTTTTTGAAAAAAATGACTTACTTGTCACTGTTCTCCTTCTGAGGAACCGCCAGGATAGCAGACGTGTGGAGTGTGGACGTACAAGCTGCCGAACAATCGCCGTCGTGCCACGTGTCACGCGGCGGGCGGTCCGCCTCGCCTTGCCGCCAATCCATTCCAATCCAATTCCTTCGCGCGCTACTGCATACAACTACTCCTATCCATCCGGCACGCCCAGCATCCATCCACTCCTCTGCTCCAGCCTCCAGCTCCAGCTCCTCCATGGGCCTCTCAACAGCTTACTCCCCGGCGGGGGCCGGGTCGGGCCTTGTGCCGGCCCCTCTCGGTGCCGGCGCCGGCGCTGCGCGCCGTCGCTCTGCCCAGGTCCGCCGCCCGCGCCTCGCCACCGTCCGATGCTCCGTCGACGCCGCCAAGTGAGTAGTACCGTGTTTCAGCTCACGCCTAACCCCCCGATGTGTGTGGACACATGAATGCGTGCCAGCAGCTCGATCGGCTGACTAGCCGTATACGTTTGATGAGAACCCACAGGCAGGTGCAGGACGGCGTGGCGACGGTGGTCGCGGCAGAGGCGCCGGCGTCGCGGAAAGAGTGCTTCGGGGTCTTCTGCAACATCTACGACCTCAAGGCGGTGAGTCCTTCAGCCTCACATGGTCCATCGGCTTGGCTTCTTCTGCTGCCTCTGGTTTGCTCTAGCTTCGCCACTGGCTAAGATACTGGATAGCGAGCACACATATAAATTTCGTGCAGATCACCAAACGAAAGAGCAGGGTGGAATGCCATCGTCATGGAGAGCGCTGCACTGCACGCACCTCTAGCTGCGTGATCAAGCGCTTTCATTGCCAGACAGCAAGATGGTGTTGACGTCTAACGCCTCCTGAATTGACGTTCATACCATTTCTTGACTTAATTTGGTTTTTATGCTGCTTGTATCATCACATAATACAGTACTAACAATCTGTCATCCACGCCGTTGAATGGATTGGGACACAGGAAGACAAGACCAAGTCGTGGAAGAAGCTAGTGAACATTGCTGTGTCAGGCGCGGCTGGGATGATATCAAATCACCTGCTGTTCAAAGTAAGTAGTCTTTTACTGATTCTGCATGTTTTCTATAGAGATGCAGTATTGTATTGTTGACCATTCATTTTAACACGAAAAATTCAGCTCGCCTCTGGTGAGGTTTTCGGACAAGACCAACCAATAGCACTTAAGTTACTCGGCTCAGAAAGATCGTTTCAAGCTCTCGAAGGTGAAAGATTTCTTCTTTCTGCCTTACTATTTGAGAAGAAGAATCAATTCATATTTGCTAGTACATAGTTTAAGTTCCAAACTACCCCTACAATCAATGGATTACTGTGACACTGAATATGTATCACTTGTCCTCATGTGCTCTCAAAAACTGCAACTGCAGGCGTAGCTATGGAACTGGAGGACTCGCTGTATCCATTGCTCAGGGAAGTCAGCATTGGTATAGATCCTTATGAGGTCTTTCAAGATGTAGATTGGGCCCTTCTTATTGGTGCTAAGCCCCGAGGTCCCGGCATGGAGCGAGCTGCGTTGCTGGATATCAATGGCCAAATCTTTGCTGACCAGGTTTCTTTTGCACTCTGTTCCTCGTTTCTTCTCAAGTACTATGCCATGAAATTGTAAGAAACCCTCTCAGGAAGGGGTGCCAATAAGCATTTCTGAAACTTCACCCTCAAATTAAGAAGGATTCCTTAGCATAGAACCTGCAAATTTCCGAAACCAGAAACCAAGTATAAATCGTGGAGAGTGAGCATAAACCAGAAACCAAGTATAAATTTGAGTAAAGTGCACAAAAAAACGACAGAGTAACTGTATTCTTGTTATGATCTGAAATTTTGAATTGTGTCAGGGGAAAGCACTTAATGCCGTGGCCTCGCGGAACGTGAAAGTCTTAGTTGTTGGAAATCCCTGTAACACTAAGTACGGACACTTGTATGTTTCACCAAGTATTAACGATTTTATGCCATCACCATGTCTTAGTTGTGGCTTGCCCTTGATGCAGTGCGTTGATTTGCTTGAAAAATGCTCCAAACATACCAGCAAAAAACTTTCATGCACTGACGAGGTTGGATGAAAATAGAGCAAAGTGCCAGGTGACTGACGTTGAACCTTTCTTATGTCTCGTCCTTCCATTCCCAACAGAACAGATTAAGCAATCACACACAATCTCCTTTTGTAGCTAGCACTAAAAGCAGGTGTATTTTATGACAAAGTATCAAACGTGACTATTTGGGGGAACCACTCGACAACTCAGGTGAAGATTTGATTATAAACTAAATGAGCAGACTATTTTGCAGATACATTCTTCACTGATGGTTGGCACTAACTTCCCTGTGTAGGTTCCTGATTTCTTGAATGCCAAAATTGATGGGAGACCAGTGAAAGAAGTCATTGAGGATTCCAAGTGGTTAGAAGAAGAGTTCACCATGACAGTTCAAAAGGTATGTGCCTCTCCCTGTTCGCAATACGTTTGGAGTTGTCTGTTACTCGAGAAACTAAGTCAAGGTTGTACCATAATTCGTTTCGTTCCTATATCTAAATAGCGTGGAGGTGCGCTCATCCAAAAATGGGGCAGATCTTCAGCCGCATCAACCGCTGTTTCGATAGTGGATGCTATTAAATCCCTTGTAACTCCTACCCCAGAAGGCGACTGGTTCTCTACAGGGGTAAGTTTTGAGGCCTTTGAATTGATCACAGCTTTGTTTCGGCATTCCTCTAATGCAAAAAGCAATTGAAAAAAAAAAACACAGGTTTATACGACTGGAAATCCTTATGGCATAGCAGAGGATATCGTGTTCAGCATGCCATGCAGATCAAAGGTACGATCTACTAATCAAATTGTCCTGATTATTTTTGTCCTAAGATTGGGTACCACTCCGATGATCATAAAATTCTTCCAACAGGGTGACGGTGATTACGAACTAGCTACTGATGTGTCAATGGACGATTTTCTCTGGGAACGGATTAAAAAGGTAAGGGCTATAGGAACTGCCGTCACTGATATGCTGAGAATATAAGCAGCATAGAGATTTTACCCTAACAGTTGACCCTGTAATATTTCAGAGTGAAGCTGAATTGCTTGCTGAGAAGAAATGCGTTGCCCATCTTACAGGAGAGGTATGTCACAGTAACGCATTTTTGCTTAACGATGTGTGCGTGTAAGAAGAGAGATCGTGCCGGAAAGGATTGGCTTAGCTTGTTCTTTTGTTTGTGCAATGCAGGGGGATGCATTTTGTGATCTTCCGGAAGATACCATGCTACCAGGAGAAAAGTAGTTTAGTTACAGAACTCAGAAGCAATAGCAGTGGAATGCATTTGTCTATGTTAGTACAGTTCCTGGCGAAAACACAGACGATAGCTGAAACTTAGAGAGAAATAGCTGCTAGCAAGATGCAGCAACTACTTATATATACATATATATTCAATATATAATTGCTATACGAATTTGACTATGATGCAAACCTTTTACACTAATAAAGCAACCAAATATGATTGCCGAACCGCTAAGCATGCATCAAGCAGTCATCGAGTCTCAATAGCAAGTGAGCAACACTCTTATCTTCATTCATGACGAAAACAGAAGCAAAACAAACAGAACCAACCAGCCATTTTAGCCACAACTTGCACTCATCGTTGTGAACAGACACATATGTCGTGCAACACGATGAATATTCATTTTGAAACCAAACACTCAAAACACCAGCACAACTATACTGCAAAAGCATCATGATTCCCATGGAGGATCTGAAATATATATATACAGGATTTTGCACTAACATTGTCCACTACAACCAGAAGTATGGCAAATGGCATCATAACACACCAATGAGGCAATTCGCATACTATAACTAAATAGTGCTTAATTCATACATACACCATTAGCTCTCGAGCTGCAAAATGGTACTGCTAGTGCTAAACACCCCACAGGTCCATGTCATGCAATGCAATACACTTAAAAGCTAGCAGGAGGCCCCAGTTGAGTCTGACTCAAAACACAGGATTAACCTAAATGTCATGAGATTTATCTTAATCCAATACCAGGCTGCTACTTGCCATAGATGCACATGCCCACCTCGTAGCTCACTAAGAGCATTATTGCCGAAACGAAGAAAAGGCAGAAGCCACCACGCAGCACCGCGGTAATGGTGTTGCAGCCACAGTGTATACGGGTATCAGGCTCAAAATCTGCAGAGAATAGCAGCTCCATGCCTTGATCCTTTTGCAGAGCCCACTTGTCTGCGCCAGAAGGAACAGCTAAACTTCCTATGCGGATCACTTCAGCAGAAACATGGAGTGTGTTGGGACGTGCTCCAGAAATATGAGCCAAGGATTTGCGGTGGTTAGCTGGGAATTCTCCTGCAAAAGCTGGGGGAGCGGAGATCGAATCCAAAATCTTTACAAATCCCTTTCCGATAGTACTACTCTTAGCCTGACCATCTGTGGAACACAACACAAAAAACTTGTCAACAATGTCCATTTACAGGTGTAAAGATAACGATTAGGAAATTGCATGCCAGCTGTATACAACCCTGCCCCATGTAAGCAAGATTTAGCTAGATTCTCTCAACAACACAAATCATCTTATACTTCAATCTTGCTCAATGAGGATAATTAAATACACCTAACATAAAAGAATCTAGTGCAACATGTACAAAAAATGCTCCTTTTCCATCAATCCATCATAGATCAAGATAAAGCGGACCTATTGTAATTTTCCATAATAAGATTACCTGGTAAAACAACACAATTTAACTGACTACCAGCTTCAGGTAACCTAGCAGACGACAGGGCACCAACTACAAAATTAGGTTCTAAAACCTTTTGAGTTGGACTATATGTATACATAGTATTGTTCACCTGTAAAAGTAGAAAAATTTTGGGTGATCACCAGTACATATCTATGGTCTGAAACAAACACAGCAACTACGTCTCTTGCTTCAAATGATAGCATACCTCTTGGGTAAGGACTGGGCCATTAAAATAGGAACTGCTACCAGCTGGCTGCTGTATGGATCCCAGAATATCATTAAACAAATTATCATCCATTGCATCAAGTATTGCATACCATCATCCACCATGCCAACGCCAGATAGATTGGTTGCTGCAGAGCCAAGAATTCCATTCTGTCCAAACCCGTCATCACACATGGTGGAATCGAAGGGTGCATCATAGAACATCAAAGAATCGTCCTCAGGCAGAACTGAATTTGTCACAGAAGAATGTGAGGGGTCAATGATACTTGAGCCCAAACGGGAATCTTCTTGTATTGACTGCAACAGTTGTTCCAGCTCATCTGGCTGGAAAGTCTGGTCATCAGGGAGTGGAGGTATCTCATCGTTGACTCCATTTACAGCTTCCGCTGAATCAGGTGTTTTCCAAGCCCAACCATCCGAAGGCCAGATGGTTGATCCATTGCCAAAAGGGAAATCCAGATTTGCAGCATCTGCAAAATCCTTCAGCTCTAGGAACCCATCACTGGGGCTGGAATTATTTAAAAAATCTCCAGCATTGGCATTTGATATGATATTCCCATTAAGCATTAAACTATTTTGCTCCCCTGGTTCAACATACTGAAGAAAATTAGCGCCAAGGTTTGGGTCACTTAAAATGTCCCCAGAATTTCCATCTACATCTTCAGAATGGTTGCTATTATTTGAAGTGTCAGAAACTGGCAAACTAGGTGTACCATTTCCATTTTGATCACCGAAACCCTGAAAAAGAAAAGAACGACATAATTAGAACCATGAATCTTGGATGTATAAATTTGATACCAATATCAAAATGAATTGAGTAAACAAAAAAAGATCACCTATGTGTCATAATTTACAGAAAAAAAAAAGAGAAACACTGCATGGATGGATAGTAAGCTCATTTTTACGTTGAAGAAGCATGATGTGGAGTTCACACCACACAGTTAAAGATGGAAATGACAACACAGAATCCCAAACCTTTTTAATGTTCAGACATGAATACTATAATATCATGACTCTTGTAGTCGTGATCTCATACAACTTGCTACCTAATCCTGAGAGAAAAAGTAAGATTTATGCCAAACGACAAAAAAAGTCAGTGTCCTTGCTACACAGCATGGGATAGAATTTCGTCAATACAAGTTAGAACAACATAAATACCAAAGCAGAAGGAAATCCAGCAAACCTGTTAACAGCAAGGTGCATGATTAATCAATATGATGTAAGGTGTGACGAGTCATGTTCTGTTGACAAGGTACATTCCACAGCTGTGGGTCTCTTTGGACAATGAGCAGAACATGAATCTTATAATGGACTACAAGCCATCAACTGTTATCCTAGTGAAGTGAGCTAAGAGAAAAGGTGCAGATCTACATCAACTGTTATCCTAGAGAAATGCACTAAGAGAAAAAAAAAATCACATTTATACTAGCATATTTTTAGCATCCTTTTACTTTAGGAGGCAGGAGGATGTCAGGGCCTTTGGCTGTTGTTCACCATGGGAAGCCGGAGCTGCTCTTTGCTGCTTGTGATCAGCTTGGCGATGAGGACATGCGGTGAGCACCGTTGGTTTGTGTGTTACCTCTGTGTGTAATTGGATTGCAGTGGGTCAGTCGTCAGGGCTATTGTGTTCTGGTTTTGTTGGTTTTTTCTGTGTTTTAATCTGTGCCTCTGTAAGGTTTTTAGGCCTGGTTTCCCTTATAAACTAGGCCAATTCTATTCTTCTTAATTGAAAGGCAGAGCTCCTGCTATTACGTTAAAAAAAAAAAATTAGTGACACCAGAAGCAACTGATGAAAATTCTGATACTAGACAACCAAAATCCGACTTAACAACAACATAAGAACGGGAAAGGTGCCTTTCAAACAATTATTCTAACCCACCTATAGAACCCAAAAAACCATTCAAATAACAATATCCATAGCAACTGCCTATTACCCATAAAGCAGCGTATTATCAAACAAGGTACCAGGGCTTTAAGAATGATAGATGGTGAAAGTAGTAGTACAGAACATGGTAGGTCATTCAAACAATCCAGTCAATGCTTCAATCTAAAGGTCCTGATGTGTACTTCAAACATAAAAGTTGCATGTTCTAAGATGGAATGGAATTATTCAGTGCATAACAAAGGCTTTCATGAAAAGGAACAAAGATGCTACATAACTGCATACAGAAGATATATGAGAATAATTCATACAACTAGGAGCACTAGCTACCCCATGAAAATGAGATTTCAATATCTATCGCTTCTTCAGGTACCATTCAGTAACTAAAACAATGCAATACTTTCAGAGATACAGCAAATATACCTCCCTTCTTTTATTATCTTCACGTTTTGATGGCTTACAAGTACAACTTAGACTAAATATGAACATCAAATTGAATTCTATGTACAGAAACACTGGCAGTTTTTATTAAAAAAAAAAAACATCATGCAAGTTGATTGGTTGCAACCATACCTGAATGAGATCACTCATTTGAAGATAGCCTCTCTCCAAGGCACCAGGGATCTCCACAGGAGCGCTGGGGAACCTCAGGGTCAACAGCAGCATCACCCTCCACTGGAAGCAAACCGACATCTGCGTCATCCTCCTCCCATTCCTCCTCAACGAAGGGCGCTCCATACTGTGCCCCATTCTGAGGACCTGGGCCAGCTTTCTGGAAGATCCGGCACACCACAAACGAGTCCTGTACGAACAAGTTTAGAAATCAGTGTCAGTACTAAGAACAGTGCATTTGTAAGAGAACAATCAGTGGTGTCAAAAGAAGTAAATTTAGCCCTTTGGTTACAAATTCGCATTGCAATCCACACATGCTCATTTCTCACTGGAATCAGGTAAAAGGATCCACTTTCATTGAGTAATCATCAGGTAAAAGGTCGTAATATTAATCTAACTCATTTCCCACCGAATCTATCTACCATGTAGTCAGATACCCGCGTGGGACGCAATTTCGTTTTCTTATTAACAGAAGATTGCAACAATCAAGAGTATTATGACTAACATATATATAGGAAACACACTACAATAGTACAATTCGATAAATGATGATGAAACGGACTTGTGAAGTGTGTGAGTAACACGCAAGCAAGAAGGGGGACGGGGATAGATAGATAGATACCTGCGGTATCCCCGCGGCGTCGTCGCCCTCGAGGCGGTACTCGTGCATGACCCAGTTGGTGCGCTCGCCCTTGGGGGCGCGTCCGGCGTGGAAGACGAGCGTCTTCTTCATCCCGACGACCCTGGGCCCATGGCGCACCTCCCTGTCCTTGCCGGTGGTCTTCCAGTACCCTCCCGACGTGGCGCGGTTGGTGCGGGCGCGGTTGGCGTGCTTGCGGTCGAGGCGGCTGAAGAAGTACCACTGGGAGTCGCGGGAGCGGAGGCGGGAGCGGGCGGGCAGGTCCCAGGGCTCGAGCTTGTAGAGGTCGACCTCGGCGATGGCGTCGACCTTGAGCGGGCGGCCCAGGACCTTGCGCTTGAGGTAGTAGGAGACGAGCTCCTCGTCGGTGGGGTGGAAGCGGAAGCCCGGCGCGAGGGAGGTGGCCTCGGCCGCCCCCGCCGCCGCCGCGGGCGGTGGCGGTGGCGGCGGCGGGGCGGAGGACGACGACGAGGAAGGGTGGGTCATGTACGCGCCACCCGAGCAGTGCTGGCGGCGGCGGCGCGGGCTAGGGTTGGGAGAGGCGACGGGGGATTGGGAGGGTTGGAGTGGATTGGGGAAAGTTTCGAGGGAGATGAGAGGAGGAAGAAGGGGGTGGCTTGGGCTATAAGAAAGGCCAGGGGCCTTTTCGGCACACCGTGGTAAACAGAGCAAAATCCAAGGATTAAAATACTGATTCTGTTTGTCTTCTCTTTCCAGCGCAGCTGACCCAGTGTCCAGTGACCCCCGGGCCTGGCCATTGGTGTCTCTCTTTGCTTTGGCCTTTGGGGGACGTTTCGCAGAATTCACCCTCAGGATGGTGTTTTTCTAGTTATGGCCCTTTTAAAACCCCACCGGTTTAAATCCCTGTGGTAGCTATCTTTGCCTCATGAAAATGTAATGTTTTTGAGTTAAAAAAAAACTGGTTGGAAGCATAGAGTTCTCTGTCATTGACTACTGTATTTATTATTCTTTCTTTTATTTATACAACCTATTTTTTTTTCATTTCACTCTGTTATTATAACATGTGATTATAAAATTCTAGGTCCCAAATACCATTAACCCATTTTGCTTACGATATATACCAAGGAATTTCTCATATATAGATGATGCAAAGAGCAACATCAGGTTTGATATCCATATCGCTTTGAGGTGGAATGAAAGTGGGTGCCATTCAAATTATGGCGGTTGTGATGGATGGCCATGCAATTCATCATAGACTAAGTAATACTCCTCCTCTCTCTAAAAAAATGCAACCCTTGTTTTTGAAGAAATCAAATAATTTAAACTTTTTTGTGGAAAAAATAATTTGAACTTTGACCAAAATTATAAAAAATTAACATTTATTTATGATAAAAAAATAAGTATCATTAGATTAATTATGAAATATATTTTCATAATAAAATTATTTGAAGATATAAATATTAACATAACTTATTATAAAGTTGGTCAAACTTGAGCCTGCTCCAATGATATGAATCTTATAATTACATTGTTTTTAGGACCTGTGGACTAAGTATAAAGACAGTCAAATTATCTAAAGCTGTAACGTAACTTTCGATCTATGGTGAGTACAGAAAAACGTTTTGATTTTATGAAAACTTGTAACGTACCACTCTGAACCTAACAACAACACACTTATAGATTTGACGACTCTTTTAGCAATGGTGTCAAGAATCCAGTGGCGAAAGATACATTGATGGCTGTGGCAGAAAAAATGAAAACTAATACTACAATTGAATTTTCACCATGGTTACAACTCAAATTTCCACACTCACAAAGGCAAGTGCACCCTCTACGATTTATTCTAGCTTCATACGATAAGAATCGCAGATACGCCGCTTAACACATACAAGTAGCAAATTGGAGTAATAATGCTGCATATATATATAAGTAGCAACATCCTATAAATAAATACGTGTTCCCGTGTGGCAATGCATCCACTGCTATGATATCGTTGACGGAAGTAGCCAAGCACGTGCGTACCAATAGTAAGATAATGATGCCTGGTGGGGGCTGCAAATCGCTAAGTAACGAGGGTGCAGTTCGGCTAAACTCCGGGGGAGTGGAGCCGGGGAGTGACGCGAGCGGCGGGACAGGGTGCTTCGCCTCCACGGCTCCACGTGAGTACGTGGCCACGCGTCCTGGCCGGCTGGGACGTTTTGGTGGGTCGGGTCGGGTCCACGGGCAAGTTTCGCAGCTGCTAGGGATTGCCGGATTGGGTGACCGTGGACTTTTCTCTCCGTTCCCGCGAGCGCGCGATCGGAGTGAGCTGACGACACATGACTGATGACTGGGGCCAAGACTAGCGGCGGTGGGTCACTGAGGCCGATGACACGGACGTTGGAGGGGAGGGAGAGTCAAAATAGGAACAGTATTTGTTTCCTAGCAAGGCCTCGTTTAGTTTGCCCAAATCGGCGCCGCAGAATGCACTGTAGCATTTTTTTTTATATGGTATTAATTGTCCGATCGTTGACTAATTAGGCTCAAAACGTTCGTCTCGTAAAGTACAACTAAACTGTACAATTAGTTTTTGATTTCGTCAATATTTAGTACTCCAGACATATACCACAAGTTTGATGTGACGATGAATCTTCTTTTTACATAGTGCCAAAGTTTGGAATTCGGTGGGAACTAAACACCCCCTAAGCCCTCGCATAAACACAAGACGTCGTCGTTCCAAAGAGTTGCACCAATGGGAATCGGTCGGTTTCACATTTCACACACACAGTACATATGTTCCTTTCTGCTCGTGTCAGCATCTTTTAGCGCAACTCAAATCCAATTCATGCACGATATATAGGCCACTCGTTTAATTTGCTACACTGCTACATAGGGATAACAACGAAAATGTACCGTACCATCATTTTTAAGGTCCGGGCCAAGTACATACGAGCTCCTCCATTTCAAATTATAATTTATTTAACTTTTTTAACCATATATTTAATCACTCGTCTTATTAAAAAAATGGTGCAAAACATAGTGAAATTTAACTCATTCTTGAAGAACTTTTGTTAATAAAGTAAGACACAACAAAAATAGTGATATTTTGCACAAATTTTTAAATAAGACAAGTGGTCAAACTTGAATATCAAAAAAGTTAAATGAATTATAATTTAGAACGGAGTTAGTACCTCAATTTTACAGCAAACCCTTTAGAGTGTTTGGCTGGACTAAAACGGGTACTGTTCATGCTGGATTTTATTGTTCACACTGAAATTTTGTGAGAGATGCTCTGACTGGAGAAAAAAAAACGAGTCAGCCAGCCGAAAACGACCAGCGGAACACGCTGTTGTTAGCTCGTACCTACATACATATATCCAGCAGACCAGCATTACACATTTTTGTATTGGGCCATGTTTAGTTCATCCAAGGCCGCGTTTAGTTCCGGTCGGAATCGGCGCCGCCAGAAATCAGTAGACACTGTAGCACAGTAGTATTTCGTTTGTATTTGGTAATAATTGTCCAAACATTGACTAATTAGGCTCAAAACGTTCGTCTCGTATAGTACAATCAAACTGTACAATTAGTTTTTGATTTCGTCAACATTTAATACTCCATACATGTACCGCAAGTTTGATGTGATGGGGAATCTTCTTTTTGCATAGTGTCAAAGTTTGGAATTTGGTGGAACTAAACATGGAGCACTATGCAAAAAGAAGATTCTCCGTCACATCAAACTTGCGGTACATGCATGGAGTACTAAATGTTGACGAAATAAAAAACTAATTGCACAGTTTGGTTGTACTTTGCGAGACGAATGTTTTGAGCCTAATTAGTCAACGATTGGACAATTATTACCAAATAAAAATAAAACGCTACAGTGTGCTACAGTGCTGCCGAATTCAGGCGACGCCGAATCCGGCCGGAACTAAACGCGGCCTTGATTTTGTCTAGACTGTATGTAGTACGTGACTGCTGTCAGCTAGTACATGGGAATTACTTACTCTGATGGCTTGGGCTCTGTTTGTATCACATGGCAAAACTTTAGTCCTGTATTTTTTGCCCTTTTTTACCATGGGGATCAACCAGGGGGTAAAAGTGAGCAAATGGCTAAAAACTAGACTAAAATGTTTTGCTTCCAAAGATGCTCTAAACTATGCTAAACTCTCTCGGGACGGGCACTGAACGCCCTATACCCCTTGCCGCTCGCATGCATGGCTGTGCATGGATAATTAAATGAGGGCAAATCAGTCATTATAAATTAGATGACTAAAGTTTAGCCCATGGATCCCAAGTCTCTAGTGAAAGGAGTGAACGGCTGCTGAGAGCTCGCTTGCCGCTCAACCATGTGCTCGTGTCGTGCTCTTGTGTTCAGATCCCCCATTTCATGGGGTGCTATGCTTCCCCTTTTATAGACCAAGAGAAAGTGCGAGTTACAGAGGAGAAAAATAAGAAGAACGAGAGAGAGAAGAAGGCTTCCAGGGTTGCCGGGTCCTTCTTCTCCTTCATGTGGATCCCGCCAATCCTGTAGATGACAACAGGGACGGCTCCATGTCGTGGCCCTATTCGTCACTGGCGCCATGCGCATGCGTCATCTGCCGGTCATGGCGTTCCACTCCGTCCCGGTGGACGTCGTGGTGAGCTGACACGCCTGTTAGCGTCCGTACGAGGATTAGGCAGAACAGCACCAGCACGTCCGACAGTATTCTTGATGTGAATCCCCAGGTATGGCCCGTCATGGCCATGTGTTACATCGAGGCATGCCAGCCTCTTCCCTAGCGTCAGAGTTTTGACCCAGGCTCATACGCTTGGACCTGGAGTGGTTGGCGGCGGTATGGGTCCCCGTCGGATGAGACGAAACCCGCATCCTCGAGGTCGGGCGGGACGGAGCCCGCGACCTTAGGCGAGACGAAAACTACGTCCTTGGGGTCGGGCGAGACGGAGCCCGCACCCAAGGGGTCGGGCGAGACGGAGCCCGCGGCCTCAAGGTCAGGCAAGACGAAGCCCGCGGCCTCGAGGTTGGGCGAGACAGAGCCCGCGGCCTTTGGTGAGACAGAAATCGCGTCCTAGGGATCGGGCGAGATGGAGTCCGCACTCAAGGGGTCGGACGAGACGGAGCCCGTGGCCTCGAGGTTGGGCGAGACCTTTTAATATGTCTCGAGCCATCCGGGAAAATCAGCGTGGGCGCTAACTTCCTTACTTTGGGTATCCCTAATATCGATACCCGACAATACTCCACGCAGGATTCTGAGCTAGCTAAGCGTTGGCTAATTTATTTTCCCTTACCAAATTTGCGGCGGGATGGTTACCAACTTAGAACCTGTTTCAATACCAGGGCTGATTGATAGCTGGCGAAAAAATAGCTAATATTAAGTTTAGTGCATCTAAACGAGAGAGCTAATAGGTGGACAAATTTTTCTGCCAAATCTTCAACTAGCTGTTACTAGCTAGCCTAATTATAGCCTCAACTAGAAGCTAGTCATGTGTATCAAACATGCGTTTAATACGTAGCTGGATCGCATGTTAGGATTGTCAGCATGTTTAGC